CCCGGCAAAACATACACATATTTTTTTCTAAATAAAAGCCATTTGACCCGCGTATTCCGTTAAATTACGAAGACTGCCACTCGTGGGGCCCGCGGCAAACACCTCATCCATTGATTGTTTGTGTTGAGGGTGTGTGTTCGAGTGTGGGCCCAGCCAGGTTAGGTGTGGGGCTCAGCTGATTTTTAGAGCATCCACTATGTTTTTGGTCTCCTTTTGTATATGTGGCAAATAAATAGACTTAAGTCCATAATGACATGGACAAATCCAAGGTAAAAAATCGAAAATCTATCCAATGCAAAAATAAAATACTAGGTCTCGCATAAATGACAACCAATAAAACTGCTCTAATATATTTTATTTATTAAAAGAAAAATTAAATGATGAATAAATGATGAGTGCTTGAGTTTGTACTTGGGTCTAAAATAGATCCAAGTGTGGACTATATCTCATTTTTTTATTGTCACATAAGCTAGACTAGGTCCACTTTTAATTGCATTGGGAAACACTTTTTTATAGACTATGTCTATTTCCTACATGACATGTAATTTTTTTCTAAGAGACCCAAAGCATTGTGGGTGCTCTTAGAGGTTGGGTCATTGGATTTGATCCACGTGGCATGGGATTGAGCCATCATATGGATTTAATTTGTTTTTTCTATTAATCATGGTTAATTTTTTAAAAAATATGATATGATTAACTGTTTTATTAAAAATTTTAAGTTTAAATTAAAATAATATTTAAAATCAAATAATTAAAGTTGATTTGATGTAAAAGTAAGAATGTTACGACCAACAATAATTCAAGTCCAAATCTCCATCAAATCGACATACAAGCTCAAATGAAGTTTTATTCTAAAATCAATTGACAATAGAAGAAGTATCCCACCAAACTTATATATTGGACTTGAAAACTTTAATGATCTAATGTGGGATTGAGTTTGCACACTCAACAAGAGAGAGATGATGCCCTCTATCATTTATCTTGCATTAGATTTTTGCTCCATCAGTCTTTCATTTATGAACCGATCTCCTCTATCATTTCTTGCAATTTCATCTATGAAGCTTCTATTCTCATAGTTTCTACTTGTGAAGTTTGATCAAATTTTTTGTGCGCTTCTTGTTCTCTGAACCTAGTGTCCAGGGGCGTTGACAAGGTTGGGCTCAACCGGACTCCAACACAGTCTTAATTTTTTGTTTTATGTAAATATGTAGTAGTAAAGTATTTTAGCTCACGTTTTGTTAATTCAATTCATTTAGTTCATGTTCATTTAAGTTTATTTTATAATAAACCAACAAGTTATATTTCTCCTTTGGGGAGTTTGTGTATTCTCCTGTGGGGAGTTTTTTATGTTTAGTCTTGTAGGGTGTGTTGTGGATTCTAGGCTGCCTAGTGTAGTTCTCCCATTCCGACTATTGAGTCGGT